GCATAGAGTTGTCTTGATAGATGATACCTTCTTTTTCACACATTTGAGAACACTATTCGATTCGGGATATACACGAACCAGATTTTGAGGCTTATGGTCGTTTGTACTGTTTGTTGGAACTTAAAACATAGAAATCAGAAGTTGCATCTCCTGTGGGGTTGACATCCTCATATGCCAAGGTTGGGACCGCATTCAGAGTTGTGGTGGCCAGGGCTTGGCCGGAGTTCTCATTTCCGGCTCGGTTCATCTGGTAGTCCATGAGGTGAGAGGTCGGTCCCCTACCTCGCTGTCTTTGAGGAGGTGGGAGGCCTCTGCTTGCCCTGTTCCTATGCTCGATCAATTCTTCATTGATTATTTCCCTTCTCATCATCTCTAGTAGGGCGTCATAGGTGGTGGGGTCTTGATTCTGCACATCCCTCCAGAATAGGGTGTTCATGTTCAGGCCTCCTCTCAATGCAGATAGTGCTTCTCTGTCGGTGACTTGTACACAGTAGGTCATCTCGTCGGTGAAGCGGGATAGGAAGCTTTTCAAGGACTCGCCATGCGCCTGTCTCATGTCTTGAAGACGCTGGATGGGGGCCTCTCCTTCCTTGCTCACTGCAAACCTCTTCAAGAAGGTAGTTTTGAACTCGAGCCAGCTTCGAATGCTCCTAGATGGTAGCCTACTATACCAGATTTCAGCCGCTCCACTGAGGGTTAAATGGAATGCTTTGCACTTTACGGCTGGGGTGGCGTCCCTCAGGCTCATGTGAGTTTTGTAAGCGTTGAGGTGCTTTTCTGGGTCACCTCTCCCATCATACTTTGGTATTTTTGACATGACATAGTGGCTCGGGACCTGGGCATTTCTTAGTTCTCTTGAGAATGGCAGGTTCTCATCATCATCGTCCAAGTCACAGGACCTCTGCTGCTCATCAAAATCGTAGTCTTCGGCCTCGTACCTCGGTTGTTGGTGAGAGGGTCCCGGCCGGTTCCTAGCCTCTTCCTCCCTCCTTTGTGGCCTACTTCTAGGCGGGACAGCGTGGAGGGCATTTTCATGCCTTCTCTCCGACTGCTGGGGCATCGGAGGTGGAGGCTGTGGCCTCGTCTGAGGCTGCTGAGTCTGCTGTTGACTGGGCCTTGGTTCGGCAGGGCTGATTCTGTCAAAAACACTTCATGCTCTCCTATGTCTTGGGTCTTGCTCATACGGAGGTGGAAAGTTATCATGGCTCATTTGGACCTCGGTGGGTCGGCCAGATGCATAGTTGGAGGAAATGTCGATTCCCACTTCCCTCTCGAATGGGCTTTCACCTCGGCCATAGTCTGGCGAGGCAGCTCTATGACTCTGGACCTCGTCCTCTTGCTGATAGTGCCCGTGGGGGGCATATGGGGGAATGGGGAAGCCTCCCTGGCCTTGCATTTGGGCCATGAGCTCCCTCATGGCCAAGTTTTGGTTGGCTATATCCCTCATGTTGGCTGCCATGGTAGCCATTTCTCTTGATAGTCGTGCTGTCGCACGCATCCCACCTCTCCTTTGGTGGTGGTGGAGTCTCAGCCGAGCTGCTGGGGCAGCAGGCTGGGGAGGCACATTCGTACTTTCTCTTACCCTCCTTGGGGGAGTATCTTCATTAGAACTCATTTTTCTTTTATCAAATTTAGATTTCTCCAAGTGATAGGGGTTCCTCCTGTTCTTTTTCAAGGACAAATCCTTTTTCAAAGGGGGTTGCCCAAATGTTTTTCAGTAAGCTTCTACCACAAGGTCGCTCGTGGTTATGGTACGGTTTCCCACAGACGGCGACAATCTGTTGACCCCAAAAAGTGCGCCAACAGATGTCGGTCCCACCCGCGCTTGCGTGGGCGAATGTCCAACACGCTAAGACACGTGGACGGTCTAAAACGAGCGGTTCAAAGGGGCGTGGGAGTAGCCCAACGACGCGGGACAGTGACGTTCGGAATCCAACGGGTTGTTCATAATCCGATTGTACAATAATTACCAACCGGTGCTCGTAAATGTATATGTAAAAGTGTATAAACTCGATTTGTGTATTGCAAGTAACTCAGAGAGAGTTGAGTAGATGTAGTCTTTAGTATTGATTCTTGCATTAGCCTTTGACATTACACAATGGAAATATTTATAGTGATACATATGAAATGGAAGCCCTTGGATGAAGTGGCACGTGGCCTCATCTCTTTAGTTCAAACGTCTTTTCTTAGGCATGGGACTTGACTTGCTACCTTACGGCGCATTTATTGCTTGCGCAGGTTCTCCATACTAGTGACAAGACTTGACCTTTATGCTTGTGACAAACGTTCCATCAGTCATTCGAATAAGATCTCTGAGCAGGCAATCTCTTGGGAGAAGTGACTGTGGAGGAAGCTCCTTGTCGTTAAGAGGCTCGTGCATCAGTTTCGGGGCTTCGACCATTTGACAAGTACTTCCACTTGAGGACCTTAGCTACATTCAACAGGTTCCAAGCTTCTGGGTCATGGGCCTCGGTAGTTGGACTTCGACAGACTCGCGTACATCGGATCGAGGAGCATCGGCGGATGGACCTCGGCTTGAAGCACTTCGGATATAAACCCACCTCGACAATGCGTGCCACCTCGACAGGAATGCCACGTGGATCAGGATGAGTGGGCCATTGGCCCAAGTGGTAGAACAGGTGTGACAACACGCAACAGTATATATACATATTATATTACATTGACATTCCAAAACAATTTCTTTACTATTTTTCTGTTAATTTTTTTTTTTATTATTTTCATGGGACACTAATCATATAAATCATCATTTATAATATTATCCACTCAAATCATTCAACTTCATATCATAATCAATCGAGTATCAACAAGTCAGATATCAAGAGAAACAGAGTAGATGAATAGACTAGTAATTATTGCTCAACAAGTAATTAGAGTTCGGTGAAATCCTGATAATTGAATTTGATTCAAAATGGTTTCATAATTTTTTTTTTTTTTAATTCAAGCAATATATTATTTATTTGAATGTGATGCATTCTATGAGTTATTGACATCTTAAGTGAATCCAACTATTAAACTTTCAAATAGTTTACTAAACAAATAAATGTACAGTTGTTTATTGAATATTTAAATAATTTTATACTATTTTTAACTAGTGTAAAATAATTTATAGAAAGAAATATAAAAATCTTTTATTTTTAGAATACCAGAACATGCAAATATCCAAAGAACCAGAAACGATCTGAATTTCACCCCTCAATACAAGATCATTTCCCGCTTAAGCCATATATATCGTTTCATTTCATATTTTTCTGAATTTTTTAATGAATTAATATAGCTTATGTTGTATTAGATCAAAGAGGAGATTGCACTAAGTTGACATCTGAAATTTTGTCCATATGAATTATTCTATATGTTTCTTTTGTGGGACCCTAACCGCAATTGCATCGGATCTCGGATATAATGAAGATTTAACTAAGATTGACTAGAGTTAACCCCAAAGGTCGAATGACTTTTGTCATCCATATATCAAGAAAAAGGAAGGAGAAGAAGTATATTTCATGTCAAATGGACGAAAACGGGTGAAGATTGAATCAAGATAGAAACTTGTAATATAGAGACGCTAATTAAAAAATCCTTAAAACTATTAAATGCGATGCTTAAGTGTAAGTGAACATAATTTGCACGTAAGAGGTTGTGGTTTGGCTTGGTATTGTTGTGTTTTCAAAAGAATCAGATTTTGCTATGTTGGAGAAAGAATCAATTAAGAGCCTGTTTGAAAGTGATTTTTTGATCAAAAAATTGATTTTTCGACCGTTATTTCATTATTTAAGCCGTCATGTTTGACTTCTTCTCTCACGGATGGACCCCACTTTTCTCCCGACAGTCAAAAAATCAATTATTAAAATCACTCCCAAACAAACTCTAAATGTTTGATGAACTTTATTATAAAATTGATGAATTTTTTTTCAAAATCAATATTTTAGCGTTTGGTAAATACAATTAATTTATTGCTACACCCGTATATAATTACTAAAATATATAGTGATTATAATGATATCTCTTTTGTATTATTATTTTCATTAGAACTACTGTAAAAACTACTTTTATAACAATATGTAATAATATAAAATATTTTTCTAAAAAAAATTATTCACGTTCGATATTTACTTTAAAATAAAAAATAAAGTTTCTATTTAAGTTTGAAAACAAAAGCATAGTGCATACAATAGAAAAAAAATATTCAAATAGATTTAAATTACCTTTAATGCATGGACTAGCAATGATTTAGTTTCTCAATTATTTTTGAAATATTAAAAACCCTATGAGAAAGAAATGAATTAATTAATTATTAAAGTTAAATTTGATAATTTAATTATAGATAATTGAAGAAATTAAATGCATATGTTGAAAAGCATTTTGCTGCTGCTCAAATTTTCTTGTTAGGTGCTCAGATTCTTCAACAATCATTTTTTCGTGACAATTTCATTTAAAGAAAATATAAATTTAGACTTGGGTGTAAAGGCAAGTAAAAACATAAGATAGAAATGACCAATTATGATTAGTTGTCTAGACATGTTTACGAGACTGCGTAGCAGTAATTTCAGTTTATTCCTCTTAAATGTGTCATTATATGTTGTGCATTTAAGGTTTCTAAATGTGTTATACCATTTAGATAAAGTAATGCTATTCAGCACCACTGACATTAAGCTTCAATTTAGGTGGTGATTACATTTCATTAAATAATTGATTTACTTAAATACAATGTCACATGATTCAATTAATTAAGCCTATTAAGTGTAATCACGAGTGCTAGATAATATAATTCATTCACGTAGCCTTGCATTTGAAAGCATGGCCAGGCCTCTAACTTTCCATGGCATGGCCCAGCCGACCTGGTGTATTTCAAGCTTTGTACTAGAGTCAAAATTAATTCTCTTTTATTCTATAAATATTTATTATTATTCAGGCTAACAACAAATAGAAAAAGAAGAGAGTACTTCAACTGGAAATGCCTTCCATGACATGTTTTATTTAGCAACTCAATTCTGATGTGTTTCGTCCAACCATTTGCGTGGATTCTTCCACGGTTGACACCACAGTTTGTTATCCGGATTTAGCATTAAACATGGCCCGCTCTCCCTTATGTACCACACACAATCATAACCGCATCTTTGAGATTGCATTAGGTTATCGTAAACAGCATAGTTTCCTGAACCGAATTGAGTGGTGAAGTCACAAAAAAACTTGGTACTACCCCAAATGTTGGGCACAAAATTGAATGGAAAAGACTGGTTGTAGGCGAGATCATGGATTCCGAGATCATCATCTCCAGAATAACAATGAATCGTAAGAATACCTCTTTGCACGTTACCTACAATAGCCACATGTGCCTTTGGGCGTGCTTCCAATAGGGTGACGAAGAGCAAGTTCAGAGACAGTATAACAAGTTTAACATCGAATGAACCCATCTTTTTTTATTATTTTTTTATTTTTATTTTTATCTTTTTTTTTTTTTTCCCAACCTTTTGTTGATTTGAAATGAAATTGATGAGGCACTGCCCTCTTGCTCTTGCAATTTATAGGGGACACGGTTGTAGATGGGGGAGGAGAGTGGAGGGGAGTGGAGGATGAGGTGTCACTCATCAAAATATGCACTGCATTTATCAATCCAGTAACAAGATGACCCAAACTAAAGCTGGTAAATAGCATTCAAAGGCATTTATAAGAATGAAAATGCTATTTAGCACCAGCGGGATTGCAATCCTAGTCTAGGTGGCATTAAGGCGACATTAATTGATAAATAGCATTAAATGACTTATTTAATTTCACCTTTTATTTAATCAATCATCTCATGCCACCTAGATTGGGATTTGCAATGCCAATGGAGCTACATAACATTATTCTATAAAAATAGTTGTCTTTTGTGTGCACATATGATAATCTATAATCAAAATCTAGATTAATTGAAGTCATAATCTAATAGTGCTCATTTCAATTCCCCTCTGACTATCAAATGAAATGTAAATAACCCTCCTCCTATTATGATTTTGATAACCTGTAATCAAAATCTAGATTACTTGAAACCATACCCTAAAAATTGGTTATGATTCTGATAATCTGTAATCAAATTCTAGATTACTTGAAGTCATACCTAAGCAGTGCTTATGATTTTGGTAATCTCTAATCAAATTCTAGGTTCCTTGAAGCCAAAGCTAAACGGTGCCTATGATTCTGATAGTCTTTAATCAAATTCTAGATTACTTGAAGACAGTGCTTATAATTCTGTTAATCTACAATAAAAAAATTCTAGATTACTAGAAGCCAAAGCCTGAACTGTGCTTATGATTCTAATTATCTCTAATATAGTCTAATCAAGTTCTAGATTATGAACTTTATTCTTACTTTACTCGATTTCATCAAATAATTTAGTTCAATCTTTCCTGCAGGCAATTCAATGACAATTAATAAAAAGGCTACCTCAGATAAAAGTTCTTACCAAAGTCATTAAGTGAAATTTAGTTTGCAACTTGCAAGTGTTGATTAACTACTTCACTTGTACAATTAAGAACATCGAACATTATTTTGTTTGAAGTGGCGATTGAACTTTGCTTTTTGTTTAATTCGATGTTCCGCAAGTTTTTGAAGTACATGAGATTTTCCGCACGATCCATCCCATTAAAAGAAACTAATAGATACTGAGGGACTTGACTAACACAAAGCATAAATTTTTACTCATTACTTCGAGAACCAAATAAAGTTGGTTAATAACATAAACTGTAAACCGAGTGACTAACAATGTGATTATTTCTATGATCCAGTTTCACGAGGACTCTTGAACATTGCAACCATCTGAGAAATACAGTTACAAAATGACTACAAAAGAAGAATCGAAAATACTTACCATTTTAGATAAATAAACAACTAAATAATTACAATGAGTCACTATGAATATGAAAATAAAGAGTTTGGTCTTTGATAATCAAGTATCGTTGTTGCAGAAATTAATGAAATAAAAATCTTTTTGTCATTTTGATTTGCAGTTCAGCATAGAGTTGTCTTGATAGATGATACCTTCTTTTTCACACATTTGAGAACACTATTCGATTCGGGATATACACGAACCAGATTTTGAGGCTTATGGTCGTTTGTACTGTTTGTTGGAACTTAAAACATAGAAATCAGAAGTTGCATCTCCTGTCCAGATGCAGAACAGAAGATCTCATGGGCCGTGACATGACAGCAGACAAGTACTCTGTTGCTAATCCCAATGAGGGTTATCTCATTCCCGACCCCTACAAGATCACTACTCGTGTAATTTTTAGTAAATCAATATAGGTTACATTGTATTTCAAGTAAGACTTGATTTGTTTTTGAAACATAGGTTATCACCATGCAGATCAATTGGCTTCCGGTACTTTCGTGTTTACTGTAAATGAGGGGGTGATTGCATGGCTTGTTTTTGGGCACCAGATCATTGACCTGCGCTTATATATCAGGTAGAAATTTATTTATAAAACAATTTTTGTGTTGTTTGACATAGCTTTTGATAAAGGTTTAGCAAATCTTGATAAAGTTGATGAAATATTTCAAAATAAAAGTTGTGAATTCCCAGAAATATGTGGTTAAACTAATTGTTAGATTTTGACACTACTTTTTACTAGTCGTGGATAATTGTTGCTAGATGCTCCAAATTCATCTATAATAATTTTTCTAAATTTATTAAACACCTAAATCAACTTAGCAAAAGCCAACATGAAAAATCTAGTTTAAAAAAGTATATAAACTTAAACTTCGGTATAGAGGGAAGTAAAAAATAGAAATGGCCAGGCATGATTAGTTATCTAAGCGAGTTTAAGAGATCGCATAGCAATAGTTTTGTTTTACTCCCGTGAAACGTGTCCTTGTAAGTCGTGCAATTGATGTGTCAAAATGTGTCGAATCACCCACATATACATAGCATTACATGTGAAAAGCACGAACTGCCCTGTAAGTTTCTATTGCATGGGCTGGCCGGCCTCTACACTTGAACTCATGTTTTTCGAACTTTGTTTCATAAATATTTACTATTTTTCTGGCCAAAAACAATTAGCAGAAGAAGAAAGCACTTCAACTGGAAATGCCTTCAATGACATGTATTTAGCTACTAAATTCTTATTTGTTGCTTGGATTCTTCCATGGTTGACACCACAGGTCGTGCGACAGGTTTAGCACTAAACATGGCCGTTCTCCTTTATGTACCACACGCATTGAAGACCAAATCTCACATTTGTCAGTAAATCAAAACCCGAAAACTAAATGGTTTTAATTCTTGAAAGATCAAAACTTAAATAAGTTACAACACTAGTTTCTCCGCAAAGATTGAAAATCTTCTCTTTTCGAGTAGATAAAGTTACAGTGAATCAATTTCTGCTGCTCTCTGAAAACTCTTCTAATATGTGGTCACTAATTGTGTTGATTTTGTATTTGATTTCATAATTTTTAGATTTACTGTTCGTAACAGAGCAAAGACTACCATCAGATTATTTAAACTGAATTTTCTCAAAGGATCTTAATTAATCTGTCTGAACTATGAAATGACAAATCGGGGAAATTTGAGAGGGAACAGCTCTTTAAATATCTTCTGAATAAAAATGAATGCACTTTAAATCCTTTCCTCATAGATGAACAAATTAAGAAACATATAATCATCTTAGTATTCAGAGAGCTTGGTTCCCAACTAGATCCATTCTTGGTTCTTTCTTTCTTTATACCTGTTTTCAAGTTCAATCCTTCAATTTTTTGTGCAGTATGCTTCGATCCTCTTATCTATGGGTGCTTGGTAAGTCTTCCTTTTGCTGAAAAAATACAATGTATCATATCTATTATTCACAGAAGACAGAAAAACTAAAATCCAAGAGACAAAAAATAACGAGATCACTACTTACGCAAGTGAAATTCTGCTCATGTATAGTATATCTTGATGTATTCATTCTTCCATTTTTTACTCGAATATAAGTATGAAAAGGAAGACCACCTCAGTCCTTGCAGCATATGAACTTGAACAACCGTGTCCAGATACCAACAACCGGTGTATCAATTATGTCTACTGGATCCTTGAATTTCGCTTTCTCACTGAGTTCTTCAAATGAGTTTACGAGATTCTGAAGCCTTGCAACAAACTCTATCAACAAAGAAGTGAATGTTGCCAGTGATAATGCACTTGCACTTTCATATGTCTGTAATTCACGTTCATTGAGAATGTTATCACCTATCAATGAGAGTCGTGAAGGCCACATTGTCTGATGTTTGAGCACATTTTCTCTAGAAACACACTGGGAAACGGGAAGATTACTGCTCATGTACGGGTCGTGAGGATCATAGTCTCTCAATGTCTCAGTTGATTTTAGGTTGAGAGTTGATTCACTTGGAGAATTTACCACAGAAGGTTGGTGCTCATTATCTTTCAGTTCTTGAATGTGTTCAGGATCTTCCAATGTGTCGGGTCGATTTCCACTTTCCCATCTCTCTGGACTGACCAAAAGATAAGATTTTTGGTCAATCATCATTTGCAGATCTTCTGCAGCTTTATGAACCTCCTGAAGAAGGTCTCCAGGGCCGAGTTTTTCCATTCTTTCTACTTTTTCTCCCAGCAGGCGTAACACTTTAGCTCCTTCATTCCCTACCCTCCGAATCTCGTTCTTAAAAACCTGCCTTAATTCAGATGATGCCTGCAAATGAAACTTTGGCCTGTTTGGTACGTTGAGTAGGATGATGTTGTATTAGATCAAAGAGGAGATTGCACTAAGTTGACATCTGAAATTTTGTCCATATGAATTATTCTATATGTTTCTTTTGTGGGACCCTAACCGCAATTGCATCGGATCTCGGATATAATGAAGATTTAATTAAGATTGACTAGAGTCAATCCCAAAGGTCGAATGACTTTTGTCATCCATATATCAAGAAAAAGGAAGGAGAAGAAGTATATTTCATGTCAAATGGACGAAAACGGGTGAAGATTGAATCAAGATAGAAACTTGTAATATAGAGATGCTAATTAAAAAATCCTTAAAACTATTAAATGCGATGCTTAAGTGTAAGTGAACATAATTTGCACGTAAGAGGTTGTGGTTTGGCTTGGAATTGTTGTGTTTTCAAAAGAATCAGATTTTGCTATGTTGGAGAAAGAATCAATTAAGAGCCTGTTTGAAAGTGATTTTTTGATCAAAAAATTGATTTTTCGACCGTTATTTCATTATTTAAGCCGTCATGTTTGACTTCTTCTCTCACGGATGGACCCCACTTTTCTCCCGACAGTCAAAAAATCAATTATTAAAATCACTCCCAAACAAACTCTAAATGTTTGATGAACTTTATTATAAAATTGATGAATTTTTTTTCAAAATCAATATTTTAGCGTTTGGTAAATACAATTAATTTATTGCTACACCCGTATATAATTACTAAAATATATAGTGATTATAATGATATCTCTTTTGTATTATTATTTTCATTAGAACTACTGTAAAAACTACTTTTATAACAATATTTAATAATATAAAATATTTTTCTAAAAAAATTTATTCACGTTCGATATTTACTTTAAAATAAAAAATAAAGTTTCTATTTAAGTTTGAAAACAAAAGCATAGTGCATACAATAGAAAAAAAATATTCAAATAGATTTAAATTACCTTTAATGCATGGACTAGCAATGATTTAGTTTCTCAATTATTTTTGAAATATTAAAAACCCTATGAGAAAGAAATGAATTAATTAATTATTAAAGTTAAATTTGATATTTTATGGAAGACAGACAGAAACAAAAATTTAAATGGGGTAACAACATCCGAATAAGAATGACGATGGTATAACTGAAATGAATAGAATGAACAAAATTAGTTTTATTACCCCTATCTCGGAAAGTATACTTCCATGCATTGCCATAACCATGAATGTACAATGCCTAAGAGCGCCACTAGCTTTAACATATGCACTCCAAGGATAATTGAACATTTTGTAAGGTCCATGTGGTGGCTCCCATTCTGCAAAACCAAGCTAGAAAGGGAAAAGAAAACCTTAACGTTACCAATTCTCGAAAGGGAAATTTTTTCACTCAGAAAATAAAATACTTGGAACCGTGTAAGCATAGCATACCAGAGAATCCTCTTGGCTTGTAGATTCCAATACGGCTCTATATCCACTATATAAAGGATCGTCTGAAGCTTGATAGAGAAGAATTTTCGACGGTATCCTAGTATATTCAATAGATTGCAAATACATATTGACACAACCTATACAGAGGATTACAGTTACGAGTCAAGTTCAAAACTAAAAGCCATCAAGATAGGAAAAAAAATAAAAAAAACTAACCTTCCAAGGAATTTGCAACTCCCTTAAAATTTTTCACCACCAATTTGTGCAAATCCTCACCGGCCCATATTGGGTAAACACAAATATTTACAAGTAAACAAACACCAGCTCCAACTGCAATTAACAGCAATCTAGAAACGGCTGTTTGAACAAAATGTGAACTTCCAGAAACCAATACAATACAGAAGGTCAACAAGAAAACCCGGAATCCATATTCATAAGACTTCATTGGAGGGTACAACTTCAAATAAGTTGCACAAAATCCTAAGAAGCAGAAACATTTAAAGCTCAATCAATTGAAATTTTCATTATCAACAAAAAGAAATGCATCTAACGGCTTCTTACTGACACTAACACATCTTATAGAATTCTTCATTATGGAAAAAACCTGCCTATGTTGAAAAGCATTTTGCTGCTGCCCAAATTTTCTTGTTAGGTGCTCAGATTCTTCAACAATCATTTTTTTCTAAATTTATCAAACACCTAAAACAACTTATGATTGTCTAAGAATAAGAAATTTGGCTTCAAAATAAATCCCAAATGGAGCTGAAATTAGCAGAAGAGAACGCGAAAAATTCATTTAAAGAAAATATAAATTTGTGTAAAGGCAAGTAAAAAATAAAATAGAAATGACCAATTACGATTAGTTATCTAGACGAGCTTATGAGACTGCGTAGCAGTAATTTTAGTTTATCCCTCTTAAATGTGTCATTATATGTTGTGCATTTAAGGTTTCTAAATGTGTTATACCATTTAGATAAAGTAATGCTATTCAGCACCACTGACATTAAGCTTCAATTTAGGTGGTGATTACATTTCATTAAATAATTGATTTACTTTCATAAGACTTCATTGGAGGGTACAACTTCAAATAAGTTGCACAAAATCCTAAGAAGCAGAAACATTTAAAGCTCAATCAATTGAAATTTTCATTATCAACAAAAAGAAATGCATCTAACGGCTTCTTACTGACACTAACACATCTTATAGAATTCTTCATTATGGAAAAAACCTGCAATAAAGATGCTGAGAACAATTACAACTTCTTGCAATTGTCCTACCAACTCTGACAATTCAGCAATGCCCAAAGCTAGTGCTCCAGCGGATAATGTCCCAAGTGCACGATTAAATCCTTTATTTAGCGTAGCCCCTACATATATGCACCAACAAATCCAACATACATGTTCATGGATCAAATCGTGAAGATCAAATAAAGAAAAAAAAAAAAAAAAAACGTAAGTTCATTACACTTTTCTTACCTATGCTAAAATCAAATACTACAACAACGGTGAGGATGGCCCATATAGAGTATTGACCAATATAATGCAATGGTTCTCTGAAGAAAATGAGAAGTGAAACAAAGGAGAGAGTAAGACCCATTTTAGCTGCAAACACCACTTTTCTTGGATCAGACCAACCCATTTCATACGCCTTGAGTGCAGTTTGTTGAAACTCACTACAAGATTTGGCAACTCTGTCACAAATAGATAGAAAAAACCTTTGCCAACAACCTTCATGGCGACCAAATCCTCTGTTGTCTGAATATCCTTTACTGGGTAACAATGTTTCTTTGCTTCTTTCTGCAAAGCTTTGTGCCATTTCTTTGATAACACTTGTTTTCTGATGTTACTTCTCTTACAAAAAAAATAAAAATAAACAAAGAGTTAATTGCCCCCCAGGGCACATTCAAGTTGGCAGAACAATCACATTGGGGGTTCTGGAACCAAGTGTGGGGAGTTCGATTCTTGGTTGGAGCAGCCAAGTGATGTAATAACCAGAGGAAGGGTTGGAGCAGCTTGGTGATGTAATAACTATGGAGGAGGGTCCCTTTGGGGAAGGAGTAAAAGCCACGTGGGAACCTGGGAACCAATAAGGGCACAACCTGCGATTTACCTCCACTAGTCACTGAGGGGCCGGGGGCTAGAGGTCCAGGAAATGTTTCTTTGCTTCTTTCTGCAAAGCTTTGTGCCATTTCTTTGATAACACTTGTTTTCTGATGTACTTCTCTTAAAAAAAAATAAACAAAGAGTTAATTATTGAAGCGTGTAGAGGTCTGAGTTATTTGTTCTGAAAGGCCAATATTTTAACTTATCTGGATGATTGGATCTCGACAGTTCGGGGTGGTTGTAATTTTGGAGTGGGGTCATGGATCCCTTGTGATGAAAGGATTGTAGTGAATCATTATCGTAAATGAAATGAATGGAGTCGCGTGTTATGATTTACCTTTTATGCACTTCTTGTATTAATAAGTTAATTATTCATATTTGACTAGTTTATTTGAGAATGATTATTATACAAATGTTGCTATAAAAAAATATCTTTGCTGATAAAAGATTGATAATCACAAACAGATTGTATTGCAAGATAAACATATTAATAAAAATAATTCAAAATCAAATTTACTTTTACGAAGTCATTTGCATAATGGCACTATAAATAATTAATTAAACCCATATTTCACTTAGATAAAAAGAGAATTAATTTTTTAATAGATTTCAATAAAAATTGATGAATGTAAACTTATGAAATGTATAACTAAAATTAATTATTATTTTTGACTTTTATTTTAATCTAATTTTTTAAATAAACCAACAGCAGCTAAGAAAGAGACAAGAATTTCGAAGAAAAGCTTGTTCACTAATTACAGGTATGTATCAGAAATTGAAAATGGGCTGCTAATTTTCAACTTGCAAAATACTCAGACCATGCAATAAAAGAGCATGTTCTTATTCTTGTTTACGTACGAAAGAGATGCAATGAACAAGACTTTCTTCACACCACACCTGCACTTGATACTGCTCAGGCTTGAAGCCTATTCCTTTCTTCCATCGTCTTGATTAAAAGGATAAAAAATAGAAACAGGACTAGAGGAAAATGCAAATCCACGTGAAATGATGACACGACAAAATTTTAAAATTCATACATTCAACTGGCAATATAATAGCTAGAATTACCGATTCAAACAGAATAAAGTAAATAATTCCAATTTCAAAAAGCAGAGTTGATTCAGATATCCACTGTCACTAAAACTCGCTATTTCTTCTCTTCCTTCTCAGCCTCAGCAGCCCTCTTGGCCCTGACACCAACATGGCGCTTATTTGTTCGCTCAATACGGAGCTTGTCATATGCCTTGAACGACTTCATTTCGTCTGTAACCTTCACAAGCTCAACAGTTGGCTTCTCACGAACTATTGGCAAGTAAGGACCTTGTACTTGTGTGGCAGTTGCCAACTCCTCGGGAGCAGAATCACCCGCCTGCAAAGAGGAAAAGTATTCTTGAACTGTCCTATATATTAAAAGGGAAGGATTTTTGTTCAGAAAGGTATGTGTACCTTGAATTTTCGAGTGCGTCTTGGGAAGACAACTAATTTGGCTTTGTATGTCTTCAGCCTCTGAACATTAGTTTGGAAACCCTCCAAGGAACTGTTCCTACGGCGATGATCAACTGCAATGCCAATGGTTGGTGCATATTTCTTTGGGATTCCTGCAGCCTGTTTGCTCCATTAAGAAAGATGTTATTACGCCACAAGTAGCATTCAAAAGACCACACACAAAGCAACAGAGTGATAACTGACAACTATTGCTGCTAATAAAGTGCAGAAAGGGAAGCTCTTGCAATTTATAGGGGACACGGTTGTAGATGGGGGAGGAGAGTGGAGGGAAGTGGAGGATGAGGTGTCACTCATCAAAATATGCACTGCATTTATCAATCCAGTAACAAGATGACCCAAACTAAAGCTGGCAAATAGCATTCAAAGGCATTTATAAGAATGAAAATGCTATTTAGCACCAGCGGGATTGCAATCCTAGTCTAGGTGGCATTAAGGCGACATTAATTGATAAATAGCATTAAATGACTTATTTAATTTCACCTTTTATTTAATCAATCATCTCATGCCACCTAGATTGGGATTTGCAATGCCAATGGGACTACATAACATTATTCTATAAAAATAGTTGTCTTTTGTGTGCACATATGATAATCTATAATCAAAATCTAGATTAATTGAAGTCATAATCTAATAGTGCTCATTTCAATTCCCCTCTGACTATCAAATGAAATGTAAATAACCCTCCTCCTATTATGATTTTGATAACCTGTAATCAAAATCTAGATTACTTGAAACCATACCCTAAAAATTGGTTATGATTCTGATAATCTGTAATCAAATTCTAGATTACTTGAAGTCATACCTAAGCAGTGCTTATGATTTTGGTAATCTCTAATCAAATTCTAGGTTCCTTGAAGCCAAAGCTAAACGGTGCCTATGATTCTGATAGTCTTTAATCAAATTCTAGATTACTTGAAGACAGTGCTTATGATTCTGTTAATCTACAATAAAAAAATTCTAGATTACTAGAAGCCAAAGCCTGAACTGTGCTTATGATTCTAATTATCTCTAATATAGTCTAATCAAGTTCTAGATTATGAACTTTATTCTTACTTTACTCGATTTCATCAAATAATTTAGTTCAATCTTTCCTGCAGGCAATTCAATGACAATTAATAAAAAGGCTACCTCAGATAAAAGTTCTTACCAAAGTCATTAAGTGAAATTTAGTTTGCAACTTGCAAGTGTTGATTAACTACTTCACTTGTACAATTAAGAACATCGAACATTATTTTGTTTCAAGTGGCAATTGAACTTTGCTTTTTGTTTAATTCGATGTTCCGCAAGTTTTTATAGTACGATCCATCCCATTAAAAGAAACTAATTGATACTGAGGGACTTGACTAACACAAAGCATAAATTTTTACTCATTACTTCGAGAACCAAATAAAGTTGGTTAATAACATAAACTGTAAACCGAGTGACTAACAATGTGTATATTTCTATGATCCAGTTTCACGAGGACTCTTGAACATTGCAACCATCTGAGAAATACAGTTACAAAATGACTACAAAAGAAGAATCGAAAATACATACCATTTTAGATAAATAAACAACTAAATAATTACAATGAGTCACTACGAATATGAAAATAAAGAGTTTGGTCTTGGATCATCAAGTATCGTTGTTGCAGAAATTAATGAAATAAAAAAAAATTTGTCATTCTGTTTTGCAGTTCAGCATAGAGTTTGTCTTGATAGATGATACCTTCTTTTTCACTCATTTGAGAACACGAACCAGATTTTGAGGCTTATGGTCGTTTGTACTGTTTGTTGGAACTTAAAACATAGAAATCAGAAGTTGCATCTCCTGTCCAGATGCAGAACAGAAGATCTCATGGGCCGTGACATGACAGCAGACAAGTACTCTGTTGCTAATCCCAATGAGGGTTATCTCATTCCCGACCCCTACAAGATCACTACTCGTGTAATTTTTAGTAAATCAATATAGGTTACATTGTATTTCAAGTAAGACTTGATTTGTTTTTGAAACATAGGTTATCACAATGCAGATCAATTGGCTTCCGGTACTTCCGTGTTTACTGTAAATGAGGGGGTGATTGCATGTCTTGTTTTTGGGCACCAGATCATTGACCTGCGCTTATATATCAGGTAGAAATTTATTTATAAAACAATTGTTGTGTTGTTTGACATAGCTTTTGATAAAGGTTTAGCATATCTTGATAAAGTCGATGAAATATTTCAAAATAAAAGTTGTGAATTCCAAGAAATATGTGGTTGACACTTTTTAACACCATAGATATCGTACTAGTTATAGATAGTGTTGCTAGATGCTCCAAATTCATCTATAATAATTTTTCTAAATGTATTAAACACCTAAATCAACTTAGCAAAAGCCAACATGAAAAATATATTTTAAAAAAGTATATAAACTTAAAGCACGATTACTTATCTAAGCGAGATTAAGAGATCGCATAGCAATAGTTTTGTTTTACTCCCGTAAAATGTGTCATTGTAAGTTGTGCAATTGATGTGTCAAAATGTATCGAATCAACCCACATATACATAGCGTTACATGTGAAAAGCACGAACTGTAACTTTATATTGCATGGGCTGGCCGGCCTCTACACTTGAACTCATGTTTTTTCGAACTTTGTGCTAGAGTCAAAAGTAATTCTCTTTTATTTCATAAATATTTATTATTTTTCTTGCCAAAAACAATTAGAAGAAGAAGAAAGCACTTCAACTGGAAATGCCTTCAATGACATGTTGTATTTAGCTACTCAATTCTTATTTGTTGCTTGGATTCTTCCATGGTTGACACCACAGGTCGTGCAACAGGTTTAGCACTAAACATGGCCCGTTCTCCTTTATGCACCACACGCATTGAAGACCACATCTCACATTTGTCATTAAATCAAAACCCGAAAACTAAATATTTTTATTTCTTGAAAGATCAAACCTTAAATAAGTTACAACACTAGTTTCTCCGCAAAGATTGAAAATCTTCTCTTTTCGAGTCGATAAAGTTACAGCAAATCAATTTCTGCTGCTCTCTGAAAACTCGCTTCTAATATGTGGTTACTAATTATGTTGATTCTGTATTTGATTTCATAATTTTTAGATTTACTGTTCGTAACAGAGCAAAGACTACTATCAGATTATTTAAACTGATAATTTTCTCAAAGGATCTTAATTAATCTGTCTGAACTATGAAATGACAAATGGCGGAAATTTGAGAGGGAACAGCTCTTTAAATATCTTCTGAATAAAAATGAATGCACTTTAAATCCTTTCCTCACAGATGAACAAATTAAGAAAAATATAATCATCCTAGTACTCAGAAAAGCTTCGTTCCCAGCTAGAACCATTCTTGGTTCTTTCTTTCTTTATACCTGTTTTCAAGTTCAATCCTTCAATTTTTTGTGTAGTACGCTTCGATCCTCATATCTACGGGTGCTTGGTAATTCTTCCTTTTGCTGAAAAATACAGTGTATCATATATATTATTCCCATAAGACGGAAAAAACTAAAATCCAAGAGACAAGTAATAACGAGATCACTACTTACGCAGGTGAAATTCTGCTCATGTATAGTATATCTTGATGTATTCATTCTTCCATTTTTTACTCGAATATAAGTACCTCAGTCCTTGTAGCATATGAACTTGAACAACCGTGTCCAGATACCAACAACCGGTGTATCAATTATGTCTACTGGATCCTTGAATTTCGCTTTCTTACTGAGTTCTTCAAATGAGTTTACGAGATTCTGAAGCCTTGCAACAAACTCTATCAACAAAGAAGTGAATGTTGCCAGTGATAATGCACTTGCACTTTCATATGTCAGTAATTCACGTTCATTGAGAATGTTATCACCTATCAATGAGAGTCGTGAAGGCCACATTGTCTGATGTTTGAGCACGTTTTCTCCAGAAACACACTGGGGAACGGCGAGATTACTGCCCATGTACGGGTCGTGAGGATCATAGTCTCTCAATGTCTGGGTTGATTTTAGGTTGGGAGTTGATTCACTTGGAGAATTTACCACAGAAGGTTGGTGCTCATTATCTTTTAGTTCTTGAATGTGTTCAGGATCTTCCAATGTGTCGGGTCGATTTCCACTTTCCCATCTCTCTGGACTGACCAAAAGATAAGATTTTTGGTCAATCATCATTTGCAGATCTTCTGCAGCTTTATGAACCTCCTGAAGCAGGTCTCCAGGGCCGAGTTTTTCCATTCTTTCTACTTTTTCTCCCAGCAGGCGTAACACTTTAGCTCCTTCATTCCCTACCCTTTGAATCTCGTTCTTAAAAACCTGCCTTAATTCAGATGATGCCTGCAAATGAAACTTTGGCCTGTTTGGTACGTTGAGTAGGATGAGATAATATAATAAACAAGGTTTCAGTTTAAAAATACATTGAGCATCTGAAAATTTAGGCGTCTCTCACCATAAAGACAAATAGGAAGACAGACAAAAATAAAATTTAAATGGGGTAACAACATCCAAATAAGAATGAAGATGGTATAACTGAAATGAATAGAATGAGCAAAATTAGTTTTATTACCCCAATCTCTGAAAGTATACTCCCATGCATTGCCATAACCATGAATGTACAATGCCTAAGAGCGCCACTAGCTTTAACATATGCACTCCAAGGATAATTGAACATTTTGTAAGGTCCATGTGGTGGCTCCCATTCTGCAAAACCAAGCTAGAAAGGAAAAAAGAAAACCTTAACGATACCAATTCTTGAAAGGGAAATTTTTTCAGTCAGAAAATAAAATACTTGGAACCATGTAAGCACAGCATACCAGAGAATCCTCTTGGCTTGTAGATTCCAATACGGCTCTATATCCACTATATAAAGGATCGTCTGAAGCTTGATAGAGAAGAATTTTCGACGGTATCCTAGTATATTCAATAGATTGTAAATACATATTGACACAACCTATACAAAGGATTACAGTTACGAGTCAAGATCAAAACTAAAAGCCATCAAGATAGAAAAAAAAATAAAAAATAAAAACTAACCTTCCAGAGAATTTGCAACTCCCTTAAAATTTTTCACCACCAATTTGTGCAAATCCTCACCGGCCCATATTGGGTAAACACATATATTTACAAGTAAACAAACACCAGCTCCAACTGCAATTAACAGCAATCTAGAAACGGCCGTTTGAACAAAATGGGAACTTCCAGAAACCAATACAATACAGAAGGTCAACAAGAAAACCCGGAATCCATATTCATAAGACTTCATTGGAGGGTACAACTTCAAATAAGTTGCACAAAATCCTAAGAAGCAGAAACATTTAAAGCTCAATCAATTGAAATTTTCATTATCAACAAAAAGAAATGCATCTAACGGCTTCTTACTGACACTAACACATCTTATAGAATTCTTCATTATGGAAAAAACCTGCAATAAAGATGCTGAGAACAATTACAACTTCTTGCAATTGTCCTACCAACTCTGACAATTCAGCAATGCCCAAAGCTAGTGCTCCAGCGGATAATGTCCCAAGTGCTCGATTAAATCCTTTATTTAGCGTAGCCCCTACATATATGCACCAACAAATCCAACATACATGTTCATGGATCAAATCGTGCAGATCAAATAAAGAAAAAAAAAAAAAACGTAAGTTCATTACACTTTTCTTACCTATGCTAAATTCAAATACTACAACAACGGTGAGGATAGCCCATATAGAGTATTGACCAATATAATTCAATGGTTCTCTGAAGAAAATGAGAAGTGAAACAAAGGAGAGAGTAAGACCCATTTTAGCTGCAAACACCACTTTTCTTGGATCAGACCAACCCATTTCATACGCCTTGAGTGCAGCTTGTTGAAACTCACTACAAGATTTGGCAACTCTGTCACAAATAGATAGAAAAAACCTTTGCCAACAACCTTCATGGCGACCAAATCCTCTGTTGTCTGAATATCCTTTACTGGGTAACAATGTTTCTTTGCTTCTTTCTGCAAAGCTTTGTGCCATTTCTTTGATAACACTTGTTTTCTGATGTACTTCTCTTAAAAAAAAATAAACAAAGAGTTAATTATTGAAGCGTGTAGAGGTCTGAGTTATTTGTTCTGAAAGGCCAATATTTTAACTTATCTGGATGATTGGATCTCGACAGTTCGGGGTGGTTGTACTTTTGGAGTGGGGTCATGGATCCCTTGTGATGAAAGGATTGTGGTGAATCATTATCGTAAATGAAATGAATGGGAGTCGCGTGTCATGATTTACCTTTTATGCACTTCTTGTATTAATAAGTTTAAAAGTTAATTATTCATATTTGACTAGTTTATTTGAGAATGATTATTAATACAAATGTTGCTATAAAAAAATATCTTTGCTGATAAAAGATTGATAATCACAAACAGATTGTATTGCAAGAAAAACATATTAATAAAAATAATGCAAAATCAAATTTACTTTTATGACGTCATTTGCATAATGGCACTATAAATAATTAATTAAACCCATATTTCACTTAGATAAAAAGAGAATTAATTTTTTAATAGATTTCAATAAAAATTGATGAATGTAAACTTATGAAATGTATAACTAAAATTAATTATTATTTTTGACTTTTATTTTAATCTAATTTTTTAAATAAACCAACAGCAGCTAAGAAAGAGACAAGAATTTCGAAGAAAAGCTTGTTCACTAATTACAGGTATGTATCAGAAATTGAAAATGGGCTGCTAATTTTCAACTTGCAAAATACTCAGACCATGCAATAAAAGAGCATGTTCTTATTCTTGTTTACGTACGAAAGAGATGCAATGAACAAGACTTTCTTCACACCACACCTGCACTTGATACTGCTCAGGCTTGAAGCCTATTCCTTTCTTCCATCGTCTTGATTAAAAGGATAAAAAATAGAAACAGGACTAGAGGAAAATGCAAATCCACGTGAAATGATGAAGTTTACGAGATTCTGAAGCCTTGCAACAAACTCTATCAACAAAGAAGTGAATGTTGCCAGTGATAATGCACTTGCACTTTCATATGTCAGTAATTCACGTTCATTGAGAATGTTATCACCTATCAATGAGAGTCGTGAAGGCCACATTGTCTGATGTTTGAGCACGTTTTCTCCAGAAACACACTGGGGAACGGCGAGATTACTGCCCATGTACGGGTCGTGAGGATCATAGTCTCTCAATGTCTGGGTTGATTTTAGGTTGGGAGTTGATTCACTTGGAGAATTTACCACAGAAGGTTGGTGCTCATTATCTTTTAGTTCTTGAATGTGTTCAGGATCTTCCAATGTGTCGGGTCGATTTCCACTTTCCCATCTCTCTGGACTGACCAAAAGATAAGATTTTTGGTCAATCATCATTTGCAGATCTTCTGCAGCTTTATGAACCTCCTGAAGCAGGTCTCCAGGGCCGAGTTTTTCCATTCTTTCTACTTTTTCTCCCAGCAGGCGTAACACTTTAGCTCCTTCATTCCCTACCCTTTGAATCTCGTTCTTAAAAACCTGCCTTAATTCAGATGATGCCTGCAAATGAAACTTTGGCCTGTTTGGTACGTTGAGTAGGATGAGATAATATAATAAACAAGGTTTCAGTTTAAAAATACATTGAGCATCTGAAAATTTAGGCGTCTCTCACCATAAAGACAAATAGGAAGACAGACAAAAATAAAATTTAAATGGGGTTAAGAAAGATGTTATTACGCCACAAGTAGCATTCAAAAGACCACACACAAAGCAACAGAGTGATAACTGACAACTATTGCTGCTAATAAAGTGCAGAAAGGGAAGTCCATAGTACAATCTCTTGAATTCTAATTCATCTAGTAGGAAGACAGACAAAAATAAAATTTAAATGGGGTAACAACATCCAAATAAGAATGAAGATGGTATAACTGAAATGAATAGAATGAGCAAAATTAGTTTTATTACCCCAATCTCTGAAAGTATACTCCCATGCATTGCCATAACCATGAATGTACAATGCCTAAGAGCGCCACTAGCTTTAACATATGCACTCCAAGGATAATTGAACATTTTGTAAGGTCCATGTGGTGGCTCCCATTCTGCAAAACCAAGCTAGAAAGGAAAAAAGAAAACCTTAACGATACCAATTCTTGAAAGGGAAATTTTTTCAGTCAGAAAATAAAATACTTGGAACCATGTAAGCACAGCATACCAGAGAATCCTCTTGGCTTGTAGATTCCAATACGGCTCTATATCCACTATATAAAGGATCGTCTGAAGCTTGATAGAGAAGAATTTTCGACGGTATCCTAGTATATTCAATAGATTGTAAATACATATTGACACAACCTATACAAAGGATTACAGTTACGAGTCAAGATCAAAACTAAAAGCCATCAAGATAGAAAAAAAAATAAAAAATAAAAACTAACCTTCCAGAGAATTTGCAACTCCCTTAAAATTTTTCACCACCAATTTGTGCAAATCCTCACCGGCCCATATTGGGTAAACACATATATTTACAAGTAAACAAACACCAGCTCCAACTGCAATTAACAGCAATCTAGAAACGGCCGTTTGAACAAAATGGGAACTTCCAGAAACCAATACAATACAGAAGGTCAACAAGAAAACCCGGAATCCATATTCATAAGACTTCATTGGAGGGTACAACTTCAAATAAGTCGCACAAAATCCTAAAAAGCAGAAACATTTAGAGATCAATCAATTGAAATTTTCGTTATCAACAAAAAGAAATGCATCTAACGGCTTCTTACTGACACTAACACATCTTATAGAATTCTTCATTATGGAAAAAACCTGCAATAAAGATGCTGAGAACAATTACAACTTCTTGCAATTGTCCTACCAACTCTGACAATTCAGCAATGCCCAAAGCTAGTGCTCCAGCGGATAATGTCCCAAGTGCTCGATTAAATCCTTTATTTAGCGTAGCCCCTACATATATGCACCAACAAATCCAACATACATGTTCATGGATCAAATCGTGCAGATCAAATAAAGAAAAAAAAAAAAAACGTAAGTTCATTACACTTTTCTTACCTATGCTAAATTCAAATACTACAACAACGGTGAGGATAGCCCATATAGAGTATTGACCAATATAATTCAATGGTTCTCTGAAGAAAATGAGAAGTGAAACAAAGGAGAGAGTAAGACCCATTTTAGCTGCAAACACCACTTTTCTTGGATCAGACCAACCCATTTCATACGCCTTGAGTGCAGCTTGTTGAAACTCACTACAAGATTTGGCAACTCTGTCACAAATAGATAGAAAAAACCTTTGCCAACAACCTTCATGGCGACCAAATCCTCTGTTGTCTGAATATCCTTTACTGGGTAACAATGTTTCTTTGCTTCTTTCTGCAAAGCTTTGTGCCATTTCTTTGATAACACTTGTTTTCTGATGTACTTCTCTTAAAAAAAAATAAACAAAGAGTTAATTATTGAAGCGTGTAGAGGTCTGAGTTATTTGTTCTGAAAGGCCAATATTTTAACTTATCTGGATGATTGGATCTCGACAGTTCGGGGTGGTTGTACTTTTGGAGTGGGGTCATGGATCCCTTGTGATGAAAGGATTGTGGTGAATCATTATCGTAAATGAAATGAATGGGAGTCGCGTGTCATGATTTACCTTTTATGCACTTCTTGTATTAATAAGTTTAAAAGTTAATTATTCATATTTGACTAGTTTATTTGAGAATGATTATTAATACAAATGTTGCTATAAAAAAATATCTTTGCTGATAAAAGATTGATAATCACAAACAGATTGTATTGCAAGAAAAACATATTAATAAAAATAATGCAAAATCAAATTTACTTTTATGACGTCATTTGCATAATGGCACTATAAATAATTAATTAAACCCATATTTCACTTAGATAAAAAGAGAATTAATTTTTTAATAGATTTCAATAAAAATTGATGAATGTAAACTTATGAAATGTATAACTAAAATTAATTATTATTTTTGACTTTTATTTTAATCTAATTTTTTAAATAAACCAACAGCAGCTAAGAAAGAGACAAGAATTTCGAAGAAAAGCTTGTTCACTAATTACAGGTATGTATCAGAAATTGAAAATGGGCTGCTAATTTTCAACTTGCAAAATACTCAGACCATGCAATAAAAGAGCATGTTCTTATTCTTGTTTACGTACGAAAGAGATGCAATGAACAAGACTTTCTTCACACCACACCTGCACTTGATACTGCTCAGGCTTGAAGCCTATTCCTTTCTTCCATCGTCTTGATTAAAAGGATAAAAAATAGAAACAGGACTAGAGGAAAATGCAAATCCACGTGAAATGATGACACGACAAAATTTTAAAATTCATACATTCAACTGGCAATATAATAGCTAGAATTACCGATTCAAACAGAATAAAGTAAATAATTCCAATTTCAAAAAGCAGAGTTGATTCAGATATCCACTGTCACTAAAACTCGCTATTTCTTCTCTTCCTTCTCAGCCTCAGCAGCCCTCTTGGCCCTGACACCAACATGGCGCTTATTTGTTCGCTCAATACGGAGCTTGTCATATGCCTTGAACGACTTCATTTCGTCTGTAACCTTCACAAGCTCAACAGTTGGCTTCTCACGAACTATTGGCAAGTAAGGACCTTGTACTTGTGTGGCAGTTGCCAACTCCTCGGGAGCAGAATCACCCGCCTGCAAAGAGGAAAAGTATTCTTGAACTGTCCTATATATTAAAAGGGAAGGATTTTTGTTCAGAAAGGTATGTGTACCTTGAATTTTCGAGTGCGTCTTGGGAAGACAACTAATTTGGCTTTGTATGTCTTCAGCCTCTGAACATTAGTTTGGAAACCCTCCAAGGAACTGTTCCTACGGCGATGATCAACTGCAATGCCAATGGTTGGTGCATATTTCTTTGGGATTCCTGCAGCCTGTTTGCTCCATAAAGAAAGTAAGAAAGATGTTATTACGCCACAAGTAGCATTCAAAAGACCACACACAAAGCAACAGAGTGATAACTGACAACTATTGCTGCTAATAAAGTGCAGAAAGGGAAGTCCATAGTACAATCTCTTGAATTCTAATTCATCTAGTGAATTATTGTCAATCATTTACAATTAATAACAAATTTCAACATTATGGACAATATTCATTTTACAATTTTTAGTGTTTTTTGTGATCCCTAGCTATCAAAACTTCTTCGGCAAATTATAAAACTTTAGTTATTAAATTTAAATTAAATGAACCTACTTTCAGAATCTCATGCTGCAAGAAATAACATGATGACTTAATCTGTATAACCATTGCAACAGCAAAAACCAAGCAGATGCGGCAAAAAGTCGAGGTATTTACTGAAGTCAAACTTGCATGCATTATGTCTAAAACATCTCACCTTGAGTTCCTCAAGAGAAAATCCCCTTCCAGCTCTGACTTTCATATTGTACTTTAGGGTCTGGCCATGAACAATAGGACGAAGAGGTCCAGCTGTAGGCCTAGGGAAGACCTTCACAGCCTTCTTTTGTCTTGCTGAAAACATATCAATCAAACAAGAACCAATCAAGCCATCGATCAAATATTTAGAACAGGCAATTAAACAAGCTAACCTTCCAGAGAATTTGCAACTCCCTTAAAATTTTTCACCACCAATTTGTGCAAATCCTCACCGGCCCATATTGGGTAAACACATATATTTACAAGTAAACAAACACCAGCTCCAACTGCAATTAACAGCAATCTAGAAACGGCCGTTTGAACAAAATGGGAACTTCCAGAAACCAATACAATACAGAAGGTCAACAAGAAAACCCGGAATCCATATTCATAAGACTTCATTGGAGGGTACAACTTCAAATAAGTCGCACAAAATCCTAAAAAGCAGAAACATTTAGAGATCAATCAATTGAAATTTTCGTTATCAACAAAAAGAAATGCATCTAACGGCTTCTTACTGACACTAACACATCTTATAGAATTCTTCATTATGGAAAAAACCTGCAATAAAGATGCTGAGAACAATTACAACTTCTTGCAATTGTCCTACCAACTCTGACAATTCAGCAATGCCCAAAGCTAGTGCTCCAGCGGATAATGTCCCAAGTGCTCGATTAAATCCTTTATTTAGCGTAGCCCCTACATATATGCACCAACAAATCCAACATACATGTTCATGGATCAAATCGTGCAGATCAAATAAAGAAAAAAAAAAAAAACGTAAGTTCATTACACTTTTCTTACCTATGCTAAATTCAAATACTACAACAACGGTGAGGATAGCCCATATAGAGTATTGACCAATATAATTCAATGGTTCTCTGAAGAAAATGAGAAGTGAAACAAAGGAGAGAGTAAGACCCATTTTAGCTGCAAACACCACTTTTCTTGGATCAGACCAACCCATTTCATACGCCTTGAGTGCAGCTTGTTGAAACTCACTACAAGATTTGGCAACTCTGTCACAAATAGATAGAAAAAACCTTTGCCAACAACCTTCATGGCGACCAAATCCTCTGTTGTCTGAATATCCTTTACTGGGTAACAATGTTTCTTTGCTTCTTTCTGCAAAGCTTTGTGCCATTTCTTTGATAACACTTGTTTTCTGATGTACTTCTCTTAAAAAAAAATAAACAAAGAGTTAATTATTGAAGCGTGTAGAGGTCTGAGTTATTTGTTCTGAAAGGCCAATATTTTAACTTATCTGGATGATTGGATCTCGACAGTTCGGGGTGGTTGTACTTTTGGAGTGGGGTCATGGATCCCTTGTGATGAAAGGATTGTGGTGAATCATTATCGTAAATGAAATGAATGGGAGTCGCGTGTCATGATTTACCTTTTATGCACTTCTTGTATTAATAAGTTTAAAAGTTAATTATTCATATTTGACTAGTTTATTTGAGAATGATTATTAATACAAATGTTGCTATAAAAAAATATCTTTGCTGATAAAAGATTGATAATCACAAACAGATTGTATTGCAAGAAAAACATATTAATAAAAATAATGCAAAATCAAATTTACTTTTATGACGTCATTTGCATAATGGCACTATAAATAATTAATTAAACCCATATTTCACTTAGATAAAAAGAGAATTAATTTTTTAATAGATTTCAATAAAAATTGATGAATGTAAACTTATGAAATGTATAACTAAAATTAATTATTATTTTTGACTTTTATTTTAATCTAATTTTTTAAATAAACCAACAGCAGCTAAGAAAGAGACAAGAATTTCGAAGAAAAGCTTGTTCACTAATTACAGGTATGTATCAGAAATTGAAAATGGGCTGCTAATTTTCAACTTGCAAAATACTCAGACCATGCAATAAAAGAGCATGTTCTTATTCTTGTTTACGTACGAAAGAGATGCAATGAACAAGACTTTCTTCACACCACACCTGCACTTGATACTGCTCAGGCTTGAAGCCTATTCCTTTCTTCCATCGTCTTGATTAAAAGGATAAAAAATAGAAACAGGACTAGAGGAAAATGCAAATCCACGTGAAATGATGACACGACAAAATTTTAAAATTCATACATTCAACTGGCAATATAATAGCTAGAATTACCGATTCAAACAGAATAAAGTAAATAATTCCAATTTCAAAAAGCAGAGTTGATTCAGATATCCACTGTCACTAAAACTCGCTATTTCTTCTCTTCCTTCTCAGCCTCAGCAGCCCTCTTGGCCCTGACACCAACATGGCGCTTATTTGTTCGCTCAATACGGAGCTTGTCATATGCCTTGAACGACTTCATTTCGTCTGTAACCTTCACAAGCTCAACAGTTGGCTTCTCACGAACTATTGGCAAGTAAGGACCTTGTACTTGTGTGGCAGTTGCCAACTCCTCGGGAGCAGAATCACCCGCCTGCAAAGAGGAAAAGTATTCTTGAACTGTCCTATATATTAAAAGGGAAGGATTTTTGTTCAGAAAGGTATGTGTACCTTGAATTTTCGAGTGCGTCTTGGGAAGACAACTAATTTGGCTTTGTATGTCTTCAGCCTCTGAACATTAGTTTGGAAACCCTCCAAGGAACTGTTCCTACGGCGATGATCAACTGCAATGCCAATGGTTGGTGCATATTTCTTTGGGATTCCTGCAGCCTGTTTGCTCCATTAAGAAAGATGTTATTACGCCACAAGTAGCATTCAAAAGACCACACACAAAGCAACAGAGTGATAACTGACAACTATTGCTGCTAATAAAGTGCAGAAAGGGAAGTCCATAGTACAATCTCTTGAATTCTAATTCATCTAGTGAATTATTGTCAATCATTTACAATTAATAACAAATTTCAACATTATGGACAATATTCATTTTACAATTTTTAGTGTTTTTTGTGATCCCTAGCTATCAAAACTTCTTCGGCAAATTATAAAACTTTAGTTATTAAATTTAAATTAAATGAACCTACTTTCAGAATCTCATGCTGCAAGAAATAACATGATGACTTAATCTGTATAACCATTGCAACAGCAAAAACCAAGCAGATGCGGCAAAAAGTCGAGGTATTTACTGAAGTCAAACTTGCATGCATTATGTCTAAAACATCTCACCTTGAGTTCCTCAAGAGAAAATCCCCTTCCAGCTCTGACTTTCATATTGTACTTTAGGGTCTGGCCATGAACAATAGGACGAAGAGGTCCAGCTGTAGGCCTAGGGAAGACCTTCACAGCCTTCTTTTGTCTTGCTGAAAACATATCAATCAAACAAGAACCAATCAAGCCATCGATCAAATATTTAGAACAGGCAATTAAACAAGTAAAAGCCAAACAAACATTATACAAGTGAGCTGCATTCTGTTAATGGCAGAAAAAAATTCACTCACCAATTCTTCTCCTGGTTTTGCGAGCAGGCTGGTTAAACCATGTCTTCACATAGTTCTGCCAATGCTTTCTGAAGTGCCCATTAGGAATGACATTGTTGTGCTTGACCATGATTTACCTATTGTAAACCAGATAGACTAATAATTAGACCAGTAAAACAGCCATTATGCTAGAATACACTCGCCAAAACCATGATCCATCGAAGGAAATTTAAAGCACAAGGCAAAAATTCAACTGATATATGCATCTACATTAATGCCGAATAAAAAAAAATAGATATTGATTTCCACACTCCAGAAAACGGCAATGAAATGCAAAAAACAAATGCAAACTAGCCATTAATATAAATTTCATGATTAAAGTATGCGTGTTCTGGATAACCCATGAAAACAATCTTTTTAATACCCTCACACAGTCTAATAAAAAAATAGTAAACATATATTCGAAATGTACACAGACAATATTACAACCATTTGCATAATTAAACAACAAAATTGAACAGATGCATTCAGAATTTACAAAAGCATCCCAGCTAACAATGAGAATAGTATCAAAGCCTCCAAAGATCACAATCACTAATATTTTTTATTCCAAATTTAGGTAGATTGAATCTCTTCGCATATAAATCCACTGACAGCCTTTTAACATTAACACTTGTTTGAGCAGTCAAAATTAGATTTTGGCGGAAACCTTATAAAGCGGGGGGGTATTAGAATTATAAGAAGCAGAAACAAGCCAAAATTACAAAATCTAAATATCACAAAACCAAATATAATTAGTAATTCAATGAAGTTCCGATTTTCCTGAAGCAGAGAACAGAAAAAGCTAAAATTATACAGCATATTTTTTGCTTAATTTTCCTACATTCATTTCCAGTAAACAAAGCACAGCGTTTCAATCGGCATCCATACGAACGCGTTAAACAAGGAATTTGATTTAAATAATTTTCATATCAACAACAAATGCCGGTATACATTAACACAGAAAGCGGAATTAGACAGCAATTAAGAACTATTGGGGTTTGCACTTACAGCGGCGGCTGGGATGGGGTGGAAAGGCTTTGCTGCAAAATCTGAATGTGGATCGTTTCTGAGTATATATGTGTAGGATCGAGGAAACCCTACATTTTCACATCGGCCCATATTGCAATACATTGGGCCTAACAGGTTTTGTTCCAGGCCGAATAGATACTGAAAAGTGACAGTCTTGGGCCAAGGGGAATCGATAAATACTTATTTGTTTAGTCCCCGTTTGACCCTCATTTTATAAAAATGAAAATAAGTGGAATAATATTTTTTGAAAAATAAGTAGTTAAAAAAATGAAAAAAAAAATTATTTACGTATAATATTATTTTATAAAAAATTGTGTAGTTAAAAATAGGAAAGAAAAAAATGAGATTTAATGAAATGAAAATTAATTGAGGCCAAACGGGGTCTTAGCTAAGGTTTAATAAGATTGAAAAAGTAACCTTTTATTTTAAAATTAGATATATTGTTTTGTGGAAACTTTTTCTCACTTCCTTTATATTGAGATTTTTATTTTGTTATAAAAAATTTGTTATAAGATTGTAATGTTATTTTATTAAGATGTCCTCTAAATAATTTAGATGATACTGAAGAACATGACTAGAGCATATAAATGAATATAAAATTCTCTCACATTGTTAAGTTTGACAAAAATATCCACATAATTTGATTTCTTTCGCAAAAAAGAAGGAAAAGTGTATCTAAATGAAAGAAATTCTCTTCAAATTTACTTAGTTTGACGATGAAATCCAGATGGTTTGAATTCCTGCTTGAAGGAAAATATTGTCTAAATGAATTAGAAATTTTCGTTAATTTTGCCTACTTTGACAAGAATGCTTTAAAAAAAATAAAATAAAATAAAAAAAAAAACTAAAGCAGAGAATTCCAGTACACTTTTAAGAGTTGAGGTGCATTTGTTAAAAGAATTTTTTTTTTAAAAAAATGAACATTATTTACAAACACCAGACAAAATTCATTTCTAACTCTAAAACTAGTTGATAAAATTTATTTTTCACTCTAAAAGTGTCTTATTGGGAATTTTATATCTCCCTCTCTCTCTTTTTGTTTTTTTCCCCCCTTTTTGGGTAATCAAAGCTATATATTTATTAAATTACTGTTAAAATAACTTATTTTCAATTTTAATAAATTGAAAAAACAGACTTATTGCTGTTAAAATGTTTCAAAATTATATTTACTTATTATAGAGATGACATCGGAGCGGATATGTCATTTCCATCTCCCATCCCGTTCAAATAATCTTTTTACCTCACCATACCCCATACTTGGTTAAAGCGAGATGGAATGGGTTTGAAGTGGGACAAGATGGGATAGAGCAAGGCCCTTTAGGTCTTGACCCGTTTATCACTCCATTTATTTATTTATTTTTCTTTGCAGCACAAATAAAATTAACACAATCAGCAAACCGTTCAAATATTACATCAATCATACCATACATACATTCTTTTTGACATCATGGTTAACATTGTGACATGAGACGACACATGATTAAAGAATTTTATAGGAAAAAAAAAACACACTTTCATGTCCAACACTTTTTGGACTTCAATAAACTGTACACAAAAATGTTAACCATGGAGTGTACATTTAGCATTATTTTTATTACATATATCCAAGAATTGTTTTAAGTTTATTATCCAAGAATTGTTTTAAGTTTATCTAATTTTATTCTACAAATTGTTGAAATCTATTCATCAAAAAGTCTAGATTGTTTAAGAGTATTGATAAGTGAATTTTTGCAAACTTATTTAGATCACAAACATGACTTCATAATGAGCAAAATGATTGAATTGTGACTTAATCTTGTTACATTTGTGAATTGTAGGGAACACCGATGAACATGGTGAAATTTAAGAGAAAAGACGCGAAAAATGACTAAAATGACGCAAAGTGAAAGTTCAGGGACCAAGGTGCAATTATCCAAAGTTGACCCGATGAAAAAATCGAGAAATTGATTAAGCTAAATGCCAATTGATGATATCCTGGGATGATGGAATTGAAAGAATGAAGAAAAGATGCCAAGAAGTGAAGAATTCAAGTAGAAGGATCAAAATGAACATCTTCCATAGTTAGTAGCACTATATACCCTCTATGCGGTCGCATAGAGGCAAACCGAAAATAAAATATCACAAAACTTTTACTCTATGCGACCACATAGAGATACTCTATGCGGTCGCATAGAGCATTTCTTAGGCCAAATTCGTAATTTCCTTATTTCGTCGAAACTCTTATGGAAACAATCTTTTTAGGGTCCTATATAAACGAAAACTCGATCAGAACGAAGGGAACGCCATTTTCACAAGAAAAAGGGAGATTTTGAAGAAGAAAATGAGGAGAAAACAAGAGGAAAACATCACGCCAAGTGAAGATTCGATTGAAACTTGATTCGGGTGATGACGTTTTTTAAACTATTTTTGTATTTTCTTCTTTTTAACATGTTAGGCTAGATTTTTCATTGCTAGGAGATCGATGAACCTTGCAATACAACTTTTAATTTTTTATTTGGATATTTGACATATTTAAGCGCATGTTCCGGAATTGAATGATTTATTACATTTTTATTTTCATATTGTTATTGTGCACGTAATTATATGATTTTGGTGGCCTGTTTTATGCATTCAAAAGAAGGAAAGTAGGCTTGACATAGTATAAATTATCATAGGGTCCGATAGGGGATATAAATATACCTCTATGTCTTGTGTGAATTGTTGAATATTCATGAAATCATAATGCATTCTTGTATGCTAATATTCGTCATAGAGATATAGTCAAATCACATATTGAGGTAGGTTTGGCATTGCTCGAAAGAGATTGCTAAATTAAAATAGGAATATTGATTCATCTTTTGTGGGACTGTGTGTTAAATTTGCATGATTGAAAATTGAACGGGTATTGTTTGGGGATTCGTGATCCTAGTGCGTTAGTAAATTCATTAATTCCATAAATTCTAGTAGATTGTGTCCAAGTCATTTTGCATTTAATATAATTCTTCCATTCATTGCATCATAGTTTACGTCTTCTTTAGTTAAATCACAATACATCAATTTCACTTTCGTATTTCGGTTAAAGTCATAATAGGTTGATTTGAACTAATTCAATCCTTGTGTGATCGATACTTGGACTCATAGTCAATTTTACTACTTGTTAACGAACCGTACACTTGTATCGGGTTTTAAATCGAAATAAATAATTTCGTAAACAAGTTTTTGGCACCGTTATCGGGGATTGAAACTTAGTTTGATTTTATCTATTGTGACACTAATTCGAACTTATCTAGATTAGTAGTAGTTAGCTTACTAGGTTTAGTTTATTGTTTACTTTAATTTAATTTTGCTGTCTCAGGACTTGTATGCAAGGAGCACCTGATCGAGACTTGGTTCCCATAGATCCAGAGATCGAACGCACATTTCGTCACAGGCAAAGAGAAGCAAGAGCGGCACAACAGATGGCTAACGAGCAAAATCGACCGGTAATTCAACTCCACAAAGGCGCGGGGGTTGAAGATGAAGGGAATACGGTACTTAGGGACTTCATGGCGCCGTTGTTGGTCCAAAGTCAATCTAGCATTGTGTATCCTCCATTTGGGCAACCGAACTTCCAGCTAAAAACAAACGTGATTCAATTATTTCAGAATGGGCATCAATACCACGGGATGGCTAGTGAGAACCCACATACACACATATCCCAATTTTTGGACATGTGCCAACACTTCAGGTACCAGAATATCTCAGACGATGCTATAAGACTGTAATTGTTTTCACACACTTTGCGAGATAAAGCACTTAAATGACTAGATTCACTTCCTGTCGCAAGTATCACCACTTGGAACGAGTTAGCCCACAAATTCTGCACCAAGTTTTTTGCCAGCTAAGGTAGCAAAAATGTGGCATGACATCTGTAAATTCAATCAAGGCGAGTCCGAATCATTTGAAGAGGCTTGGAATCGTTTCAAAAATATGCTAAGGAAGTGTCCTCAACATGGCTTTGATAAGAAGACAAATCCGATTTTTCTACACTGGATTACCTCCATCCTTCAAGAGCATGGTAGATTCATCATCCGACGGGTCTATCTCCACAAAAACAATTGACGGAGCCTAGGAACTATTTGAGAGAATGGCTACAACTTCAGCCATGTGGTCTACAGATCGAGTGGTTCAGAAAAGAACGCCGGGGGTTTATGAAGTAGATACTTACTCAGCATTATCCGCTAAGATGGACTCCTTGTTCCATAAGGTAGAGAGCATTTCACAGACCGTCACTGCAAAATAAGTCAAGAAGCCAAGCTGTGAAGAATGTGAAGCTGACCACAATACTGTTAACTGTCCAATTCTCACACAGGGGGTTGAACATGCAGATTTTGTGCAATGGGGTCAACGCTAACAGAAAAATCCACATTCGAAAACCTTCAATCAGGGCTGGAGAAAACACCCAAACCTTCTCATGAAGCAACCAGAATCAAAACAGACCACAAGGTCAATTTCAGCAGCAGGATAAAAAGTCACCATTGGAAGAGATGTTTGAGAACATGGGAACGACTAATTAGTACATGGCGGCCAACAACCAGTTTATGAGAAAGACAGACGCGACTCTCCAAGACCAAAGTGCTGCAATAAAAAATTTGGAGAAGCAAATGGGACATATGACAATCTCCATAACAGGTAGAGCACCAGCAAACCTACCCAGCAACACTGAAATCAATCCTAAGGAGCACGCAAAGGCTATAACAACCAGAAGTGGAGTACAATTATCGAAGATACATGTAAAAAGACCAGTAGCTAGTAAGGAATCAGCACCAACCTCAGATGATGAGATTGTGGAACAGACTGAACGAACAATAGGGGATGTTGCCAAGAAGAGTTCCAATACATCACGAGGTACAGCTACCAATTCTATCAACCCTCATGAGCCACCTATTTCATTCCCGTAGAGGTTGAAAAGCACAAATTGGATCAGCAATATAGTAAATTTCTTGAAGTCTTCAAGATATTACACATCAACATCTCATTTGCTGAGACACTTTTCAGATGCCGAGTTATGCTAAATTCCTAAAGGATATCATCTCTAACAAACGAAAGATAGT